CCATTTTTGACGATTTTGGTGGGCTATAGTCCATGCATTTTGATCGAAAATGGGCCATTTTCCTGACCGAAAATGGTTCAATTTGGACTGCGATTTTGGTGGGTGATAAAACAGGGTGWTTGGTTAAGGTTAAGATTGCAGGTTTTAATTGAAATCATTCTTTTCATATATTTCTTGGTCGTTTTGGAAGTTGAACTTTATTTAATCATCTTTACAAACTTTGAATGTCAAAAGTGAAGCTTTCAAAATCCTGAAAATCAAGTTTATTTCTTTTGTGTCAAAAGCTTTATGGACATACTCGTCATATGACAAACACAGCTAGCATGCTGTATGACGTCAGTAAAGGTTAAGAAAAGCCGCTTTTTGAAGTGCAGAGACATTCAACCATGAAAGTTTTGTGTGTTCTCTTGTTGCTTGTTTGCGTCATTGCTTTGGCCGCTGGCCATGGGTAAGTATTAAATGGTTTTTAAAATCTTTGAGACCTGTAGCTTTAACTGAAAGGKTGTAAAATAGTTAACTATAAAGCAATAGAAGGTATTTATCAGTCACCATAGTAGGGTAAAAATAAACTACAGCGATTAAACGAGGACAGCGAATAATGGATTACACTGATAAGAAAGAGAAAAGTATAGCGGAAAAAGATGGGAAATGCCAAASGAAAGAAAGGAAAAGAAAATCCAAAGACATCCCTGGAACGACATTTACAACCACACACCAATAACTACACAGCTACTACGACTAACAGCAGCAACAACCACGACAAAAAAAAAAACACACGACTACAAACAAGAGGCACATTGAACAACACCAACTTAACTACGACATATTACTAACAACCATGATAAAACGACACGAACAATGATAAAACAACAGAAACAAAGACAAAAACAAAAGCATCGAGCAACACACACACCATCAACAACCACGACACGGCAATAACAACATCATATAAAAAAACAAGCTTGCTTTCTTGTACACACAGGTACATCAGAGACCCTGCAGCCAGGAACGCTTGCTGGCAGTATGGTTTCAAGTCTTGTGGTAAGGAATGGACCATGGACGAGAAGAACTGCGGTGCTGTCTCAACCCAATRKGACAAGAATAAAGGAAAATGCGGAGTCTGTGGTGATCCTTATCATCTAAAGATTCAAAAATACGTCTACCCGGGCTCACATGCTACTGGAACTATCACTAAAACATATAAAATGGGACAAGAGATTGAACTTACGGTAAGATAGGTCCTGAAATCATAATATAGTGATTTCCATTAGATAATGAAAGGGAATCAATGATGACCCGATCATGATATCATTGAAATATTATTGTTAAAAACATTACCAATATCAGTTACTAGAAAGAATTTCCTTCGCCGTGAAAACAGCGCACTTTAAAGGTTGTAAATTTGATGTAAATATGGTGTCTAAAGTGTCTAAAATTGTGTAAATTTGATGTAAATGATTTTCCATTAAATTTACAGAATTTTGGACATTTCATCACATTTACATCAAATTTACAAMCTTTAAAGCGCACGATTTTTTCCAGTGAGGAGGACTATATAGTTTATATTTGACCGTAAAGAACAACAACAACAACAACAAAACAAACAAACAAGAAAACAACAACAGCAATAGATTCAGCTGTTAGTCTCACWAATATTTCAACTTTCATGGAAAAATGAATACGACTMTATTTTCCACTAGAGGGTAAAATCCCTGCCTTTGTAATGCAATGATGGATAAAATTTGCTTGATATACATTCTGATATAGATTGTTTTTCGTAATCTTCAATGTCTTATATCACCAGCTTATGATYACCGTTACGCACAAAGGCTGGTCTGAGTTCAGAGTTGGAGACATCGGTCAACGACCCATCACACARGACAAGCTCAGATACTTGCTACCTATCGCTGGTACTGGCGGGACAACACGGTGGTCTCATAATAAGTTCGTTAAAGGAAAAGGTATTAACTTTAAACTCCTGCAATTGAAAAAAGCGTTAACGTGAGAATCAAGCAGAATTAATGGTAGATTTTATGCATGTGAATTATGTAGAATTTCAAGTTATAAAGGAAGGAAATAGGAAAATAGGTGACATAATAGATTTTTCCATTGCCTTAATTGAATTTCAAATGATCATAAAAAAAAACAGCAGTAAAAGTAAATGGAATTCAATGAATAATTTCAATGGCTAATTGTCTTTTGTAAATTTTTATTTAAGATTCTAGAATTTATGAATGGATAGATGAATAAATGACTGAATTACTGAATGGATGAAGGGAGGGATAGATGGATGGATGGGTGGGTAGAGAAGTAGATCTATGTTCTGTTAGAGTAAGGAGTCAAAAGAAACATTTATGAGACTTTCATTCTCACAGGTCTATACAAGATAAAGCTYCAGCTTCCTCCAAGTCTAACCTGTGATAACTGCGTCCTTCAGTGGTGGTGGAAGACGGGCAACAGCTGGGGGTGCGATAAAGAAGGGTGTGGCATGGGACATGGACCTCAGGAGACCTTTGTAAACTGTGCTGATATTAGTATCACCAGAAATGGTGCCCCATCGCCATCAACTGCACCTACTCCTCCCCCACCAGGTCCTACTAATGCTCCCCCTCCCCCTCCTACCCCCGCACCCCCTACCCCTGCTCCACCAACAGGGAAGTGTCGGGCAATAGGTGCCTGGCAGGGCAATGCCAATATGGACGCTTGGTGTAATAGTAACTGTCCTCTAGGAAACTGTCCATCCAACATGTGTGAGTGCAAATAAACTTGCTCTTTCACTAAAGGAAGACAATCTGAATGCAATAAAGTCATGAAAATARAAGATGCGTCGTTACTGAAGGTAGTCGGCGTAGAATTGCAATTTCTTGGTTCCCGGTAACCCAACATCCATCGAGCAGGATAATTTTTTCTTTTCTTTTGTTTCGATTTGGTGATAAGTTTTCCAGTACCTTACATTAAGTATATTTTAGCTTTATAAAAAAAAGTAAAAAAAAAAAATATAAAACTCTATCAATGAATTAACTCAGCAACAAACAGGAAGAGAAGTGGCCATTAATAACAAATACTTTGACATACTTTTACTATTCAACATGTTCATTCAACTCTGAGCAATATACACCATGTTCCTATACGTAATTCAATAGCAGAATCCCAGAAATCAAATTCAAAAACCAAGGAGTACTTTCTTCAGAACTGCGTTGTTTATGGACCTGTTCAAATATCATGCCATCGAGCTTACTTGGTGAGCAAACAAAGGCTTTCAAACCTGTTTTTCTCTTGACACAATAGCATGACAGTCACTACACCTGCACATACAAAGCTTTGTACATGTGAAGATCGAGGTAACGCTTTCGACGACATGATGATGAAAKGACTAAGTTAGAAAGATAAATGTGATGGCAGTCTTGTAAAATGTCAGTTGKAAAGAGGGTGACTGTTTGAAAGATGAAAAAACTCTTTTATGAAGAATATCCTTAAAAATATTAACGATCTCTGAAGTTAAACACTTCTATAAAAAGCTTTCTATTTTATTAACGTTCTGTATGTTTACATCACAATGATTGATWGAATGTTCCTTTAGCCCTCTCTATCACGTGATTTCATGACGTCAGAAGGGACTACTTTATCTCATTCCTCCTCGGCCTTCAGGTCAAAGGAGTCCCATGTGGAATTACCCTAGGAGAAGTCTTGACTTCTAGGCAGCAAAATACGTTAAGGATATCCTTTCAATTCAGCTCAAATCTGGAAAAAATACTCCTCGTTTTACATTGGATTCAGCCAAAAATCTGAAACAATTGCAAGTTGGGTAACTTTGCTGCACAACTATGTCACCTCTCACTTTCTTTTCCTTGATTTCCATAGCACATCCACTCAACATAATATTTCGCTGCGMAAATGCTGCCGCCATCTTGACTATGGTTCATTCAACCAATCAGCGTAGACTATCCAACTTGCTAATGATGTAGTGATGCGTCAAGATAAAAAGATCGACTTTGAAATGAGGCCAGAAAGATTGTCTTCACTAAATTTCAATRATAGCCATGTTTCTGTATTTTGTTGCCTTACAAATAAACACTTTGATGTATCATATATTGTGAACATGTTCTTTACGCAATTCATTCTTTAAAAGTTCACTTGGATCAAAGAAACKTTGTGGGATTTTCTCACGTACAATAAATTGCCATCTYTGATTTTGAACCAATCACAAATCACCGTTCAACAATAGAAACGCCCGCAAAGGTTCTTGGATGCACGTGCAACTTAAATAAAAATAACTATGTCGTACTATAACTATGTCATAACTACTTCTTAAAATTTCAGCCAGAAAAATAGTCACAAGGAACTTTCTAATTATTGCCTTTTCGCTGTGACAGGATAWGTGCTCGAACCTGGACAGTTTGTATTTACAAAACCGTTGTTGTCTATTTATACAACMGACTTTCTTAGTTCTTTTGTAGCAACACCTGTAGTAAACACAATATTCTGGATACTATATAAACTAATACATTATCACTTACATATTAAATCGAACAAGATGACAATGAAGTTAGTTGGAGTTACYTTAATACTCGTCAACGCGATTTCTTYGGTGTGGGGTCATGGTTACATGATTGAACCCGCCGCCAGAAACGCCTGCTACAAGAAGTTTAACCAATGTGTACCTAATTACAATGCMAACGAGCAGTTCTGTGGTGGAAGAGACGTCATGATCTCGCATGATGGAAAGTGTGGAGCTTGTGGTGACGAATATGGAAAAAAGATTCATGTTTATCCTGGGAAGTAAGCTGGAAAATTGTTACTTAACTCTTACATTGATTTGTTTCATTAGATCAGCCATCCATCCATCCTGAACCATCTGTTCATTCATTCATTTGAAGTTATTTACGCATCCATAAACTCACTCACTCCATCTCTATCACTAAAAAAGTTGATCAATTTACAGACAAAATGTCCTTTTACAAACATTGTAAATTTATTCAGGATATTTACAATGTTTGATCGAGCAAAACTTACAAAATATTTACAGAATGTACTCAAGATTTACAGTAGTTTACATATCATTTACAAATTCTGTAAACTGATCAACTTTTCCAGTGTATTATACATCAGACCAACAAACGTGTCAGTATTTTTCCATCCATACATCTGTTTTATCAATTGTGACTAGTTGACCTCATCCATTATTTCCTGTTTTACAGGTACGCAACCGGTTTTATTACCAAGACGTACAAGCAGGGTCAAGTGATAACAGCCAAGGTAATATTGAGCACAGTCRAAGCCTGGGGAGACAGCAGTTGTCTTAATTCATAATACTCGCAACATTTSAATTGTARTTCAGTATTTTGGAATCTCGGTCGAGAAATCGAAAATGATATTTTTCACAAACATGTTTTGCTACTATAYTCTTTTCCCTCCGAAAAAGGATTCCRATGTGYTTATYATTTATTATTGTTTRGTGACGGAAAACTGTGTTAACCACACTTTCAATTTTAATCCAAAAGATCCACATCACAGCCAATCATCAAGGATGGTTTGAGTTTAGAGTAGGTGACATAGGGACCCCTCCCATCACACAAGCGAAGTTCACTTACCTTTTGAAGACAACAGAGGGCAACACGAGAATTCCATTGACCGGAACTGGAGATAGCTACGAGACCATCAAACTTCGCCTCCCTGCTGGCTTGACCTGTAAGCACTGCGTTATTCAATGGTGGTGGAAATGTGGCAACAGTTGGGGGTGTGATGCCGATGGGTGYGGYCTTGGACACGGTCATCAAGAGACGTTTGTTAACTGTGCTGATATACAGATCGTACCCCGTGGCGGTGTCGTACCCCCAGTTACAGAAACACCCCCTCAAACCCCCCCTGTGACTGACCCATCTCCAAACACACCAGCACCGACTGAGTCACCAAACACCCTTCCACCAGGCTTACCCTATAAGAATTGTAAAGCTACAGGCCCATTTACTGGTAATGCAAGACTGGACAAATATTGTAAAAGGAAGTGTGCCGCAGGGACCTGYCCTCGGCCCACTTGTAAATGTGAAAAACATTAAGAAACCAAATAAAGCGTTCATATATGCTGACATGTTTACACATTTTATAGTTTTTTCAAATTTATGATCGTATGTATTTTTGGATCACTCATTGGGAAAGCATTATAATTGTAGAAGCTTACACTCGACGTCATTAAGATACCATCACATGATAGAGTTCTACATAAATTGCTCGTACTACGTTGGAACTACGTAAGTCGTAGGCAAATATGTTGCGCAATACGTTGCAGCAACCTTTAATTGACGGGATCAAACCATCTTCTAAACCAAGATACACAAACATATCATAACTATCACTTACGTTTCATTCAGAAATTTGTCAAATCTGTAAAGTGGACGTTTATTCATATGTCAAAACACCTCAAAAAGAACAAACATTCGTCGCACACTCGCTAGGCCTGCTTGTCAATGCATCTGTACAAACTGAACGATATAAAGAGATATAAAGTTATTTTGAGCTCAACTAAGAGACATCTTCTCAGAGAGTTAGTTTCCAGAATGGCTCTCAAGGTTTCTCCATTAACGGTTTTTGTGCTTGGAAGTGTTGTGACATTGGTCTGGGGACATGGATATATGATTGATCCTCCATCGAGAAATGCATGCTACAAAGAATTCCCTGATAAATGTCCGACCAACAAYAACGCCAACGAGCAGTTCTGTGGTGGACGAGATGTGATGATTTCTCTCGGAGGAAAGTGTGGTGCTTGTGGAGATAAATACGGAGATAAAATCCATGTATATCCRGGAAAGTGAGTATATGGCAAAATAGAAAACAAGGTCTTGTTCTTTAAAAAATATACGTTCTTTGAGATTTCTTATCGCTCCACATGGGTCGCCCGTTCGCGTTCTCAGTCCATTTTTTATTTCTTTTCATTTTTCTTGACAATGTTAGTCTAATGAAGCTGATACATATAAATAAAATAATTAAACTGATGAATAATCGGACTTTACTGGGGACGGGTTAAAGTTTTCATATGATGAAACACTTTTGTCTTCATAATATACATGTATATTAAACTTTTGTCAATGCATATTGGATGATTAACGCGGTTTGATCGTACTCATATTTTTCGTTTATCAAGCTCTCTTGGCTTTCATTGTACAGTTTTATTCCGAATCTTTAGCGATAATATTTGCTATGCGTTTTTCAGATATGCAACCGGACTTATTACAAGAAAATACGCCAAAGGACAGGAAATCAGTGTGAAGGTACATGCTTTACATTACCATCAGCAATATTATTAATAATATATTAGACTTAATCAATAACTTCATTTATGATTTCGTTTAGATCCGCATCACGGCCAATCATCAAGGATGGTTTGAGTTCAGAGTAGGTGACGTAGGGACCCCTCCCATCACACAGGCAAAGTTCACTTACCTTTTAAAGACACCCGATGGCAAGACCAGAGTTCCATTGAGAGGGTATGGCTCGAGCCTCGAGACAATCAAGCTTCGTCTCCCTGCTGGCTTGACTTGTAGACAATGCGTCCTTCAGTGGTGGTGGAAGGTTGGCAACAGCTGGGGATGTGAGATGGTGAATGGAAAGAGGAAATGTGGTCTGGGATATGGTCCACAGGAGACGTTTGTTAACTGTGCTGATATTCAGATAGGAGACGGGGGAGGTCTACCTCCTCCACCCCCCACGGGAGCACCGCCTCCACCCCCTCCCCCTACGCAGGAACCACCCCCACCCCCACCTCCAACTAACCCACCCAACCCAGATGGATGTAAAGCTACTGGGCCATGGACGGGAAATGCAAGCATCGATGCATGGTGCAAGACAAATTGCGCAGTTGGAAACTGTCCAAGYAACATGTGTAAATGCTGATTAAAAATGAAAAGATATTGTGTTTGTGTGTGTATTATTATCATAAGGAAATATAKAGTCGGTTCATTTAACACGTTAAATACGTTTTGGTATTGTGTAATATTTAAGTTCACATGAAACGAAGAAAAAACAAATACAATAAGCGTCTGGTACAAGCCTGGCTACCATCTATATCACGGAATAAGGGTCACGGTTGAAAAATGAGAAATAAATAGATAAGTTAATGAGAAAAAATGATTAAGTGGATGGAGAGATTGTCATGATATTTATTGGAGGCGATGTTGGTTATTGATTTGGTTTTTTAATAGATCATAAGTAACTTGGCATGTTCTTTACATAGCACCATGAGAGAGAGAGATATCACGTGACTGATACTATTACAGAGATGAATGACATGAATGGAAAAAATCAAATCTATGAAGTTCACGGAATAAGCTCTATTGTAATACTGTGTTACGACGCACGAAAGCTGTACAAGCTACGCATCCGTAAGGTTTACGCATCTTAGAAAACAATGTCAAAATCATTTGTTTGATTCCTTTGAAAAGCTATGAAATGCCGTTAAGTTTTTGTATAAATCTAACATTCAGCTGTTTAAAGAGTATACAAGTGCTCTTATCATGTTCAGACATACTCAAAGAGCAACTCGCTCATTCAAAGCACACACGCAAGATGGCCATCAAGGTCGAGAGCTTCGCAATCGTTTTAGCTAATGTAATAGTCCTGGTCTTGGGACACGGGTACATGATAGACCCACCAGCAAGGAACGCTTGTTGGAAAGAATTTGGACAATGTGTTCCTAACTAYACACCAAACGAACTGAACTGTGGAGGAMGACCAACACAGATTGCTAATGATGGAAAGTGTGGTGTTTGTGGTGACAGAGTTGGGACAAAAAAGCACGTTTATCCTGGAAGGTTGGTACAACAGGACTCTATGTTTAACTTAGTGATATAGGAATAGAAAAGAATTAATTACGTTGTCTCTGAACATAGGCGACTATTGAGTTGCAAAACTGCGTATATTAAAGGGGCATGGCCCACCACCATTCCATGCGGTTTTGTTTTAAATTTTTCATATATGGAAAATGAGGTGACTTCGAATATCCATTGGCAATCCGTTTCCATCCATCGGTTTAAAGGTCGAATCTTACAGTATCTCCATTCGCATAGTATAAAGGGATAATAAAGAGTACGTTTTTTCTTATATTACAATGTATTTTTATTTTTTAAACATGAGCAAAAGCTCGAAAGGGATGATGGACCATGTCCCTTTAATGATTTAAATGCAATTGAAAGCTGCACATGATAAGAAAACTTAAGCCATGGAATCTTGTCGCATGGACCTGCATCATGGACGAATCTAGGATGTTTTCAGAAGGGTATTTTAGCCATCAAAAGGGCAATGTATAGAATTTTATGAATATTGTAATGAATAATCCAAAGAAATTTCCTTTCGTGTTCAAATAATACAATAATCGAGAAATTTCTGTACCATTGTTGATAGAAGTAGGGGAAGGTTCCCCCATCCTACATCTGCACCTGTTTCTATATATCAAGTCGGTTTTGTTATATCAACAGGTATGCTACAGGCTTTATCACAAGAACGTACAGAAAAGGACAGGAAATTACTGCAAAGGTAAAGTTTATAAACTTACATCATTATCTGATTCTATTTTAAGTTATTATTAATAATTATCCGTTTACTTTGATAACATACTATTTCATAGATTCATATCACCGCTAATCATAAAGGATGGTTTGAGTTCAGAGTTGGYGACATTGGTGCTCCACCTATTACACAACCCAAATTGAGTTACCTCYTGACGAATTCCCTCGGGAAGACGCGATATCCTCTTCGAGGTTCTGGAAATAGCTACGAGACTATCAAGCTTCGTCTCCCTGCTGGATTGACCTGTAGGCACTGCGTTCTTCAGTGGTGGTGGAAAGTCGGCAACAGCTGGGGGTGTGATGCCGATGGGTGCGGCCTTGGACACGGTCATCAAGAGACATTTGTTAACTGTGCTGATATACAGATTGCAGGGGATGGGGGAATCCAACCCCCTACTCAGGCGCCACCCCCACCCCCTACGCAGGCACCACCCCCACCCCCTACGCAGGCACCACCTCCACCCCCTACGCAGGCACCACCTCCA